TCCAAAAAAGTGCCTGTGACAGTTGCGCCATTATCATGGTTGTGCTGTTCTGCTTCTAGAAGAGTGGTTGAGGCTTTTTTCATGCACAAAACCCTGAAGAAATGGCTTGACAGTAACCAGAGTGCAATAGACAACAAAGATAATAGCCACAGTCAGAATAATCATGCAACTAATACTCCGCACTTGGGAGCTGACAAAATGCTTTTTGAGATGGAAATAAAGTTTAAACATGATCTGTGATCTAACCAAAATTTCACTGGGCATACACAGGTGCTTGCATTAACCTAAAACAGTTCTTTGGATCATAGCCAGCATGTGCTCTGCAGAGCTACAAGAGTGTTTCTCTACTTTTTGAAAACAGGGTTTTACAGTGCCTCGCTATGCGGAGTTATATCCTTCTAAGTCCATTGAAAGCAACGGGTGTAGAAAGATGTAGCTCTGCTTTTGACGGCAGTGTTGCATACCTAAGGTTTACTAGAACCTACAGTGCAATCCTAAACAGAGTTACACTGTCTAAGCCCATTGATTTCAACTGAGTTAGAAAGGTGTAGCTCATTTTAGGATTGCACGGCTATTTGCACAGCAGGTGACCCACGTTTGCTTAAGTGACTCAGCCTGAGTTATCTTTTGCCTGACTTTTCAAGAGACGACCTCTCTGTGCAGTCACAAGCGGGGGGCAAAAATCAGAATCTGATTGAACACCTGATGGATTTGCCATAGGTAGACTGTGCTTGGCATGGTAGGGTGAAGCTGTTCAGTCCTGCTAAAGGTATCATTATAATCACTTACAGTGGTCTTTTGTGGTTCTTATTGTTTGGGCCTAGCAAAACTTCATATAACAAATATAAATTACAACAGTGCTATGGCAGTTTATGATGAATGTAGTTAACTGGTCAGCAAACATCTTTGGCAAACAGAAGTACACAAAAGCAGCAAGCAGACGTTTTTGACAGGCAGGACTGCAGCATATATAGCAGCATAAAAGAAGAAGTCAGAACAGTTGGGAACATCCCACCAGAGGGCACTGTTACACATCTACATGCAAATAATCTAACGTATGTATTCCCTCTGAATTCCTCCCCCCCACCTCTGGAGGAGTGGCTGCTCATTAACTGCAGTACTGTAGCTTGACCCATTATCATTATATGACATTATCCGTTAACTGTTTAATTCAAGTGACAGAAGGAGAGGGACTAAGGGAAGGACCTCCAGTCTGAAAGGTGATCACAAGCTGCGTCAGGGAATCAATTCACTTGAAATCTGTCCCGTGCCCAGATGTGGGTTGAAATAACCTCTACAATTGATGAGGCAGTCTTCTGCTTGTTTCGCTGGCCACTCTACTCAGGGCAGCACGCAGTGAGTTGGACAACGCAGCAAAATGACCACTTTTTTTTTTTTTCATTCTAAGGCTACCCAAGCTTGCCATTTCCAATCAAGATCTACAAACAGGGAGTCCAGAAGGGACTAGGCGTTTGATAGACAGGCAGGGTCTGAGTACTGTTCCTCTCAAAAACAGTCAAGAGTCTATCTTTTCTATGTTTACAAGACTGAACCTATCAACGATATTGAATTTTAAACACGCTTGCTCTCAAGACCCACCTCTCTTCCCAACCTTAAGCTCTGAACAGCGTTGGGGAAGACCCAGTCACGCTTACCGGTTCAGTAAATTTGTTATTTTGTCTGTGTATGGGGTGTGTGTGTGTGTGGGGGGGTTTCTCTTGGATCCCTGTGAGTTTATCTTCTGTATTAAAATCTGTCTGGGGATCATAGAATGGTGAAAAGTGCCATCAAGTCACAGTTGATCTATGGCAATTGCATAGGTTTTTAGTTCAAGAGACAAACAGAGGTGGTTTGCCATTGCCTGCCTCTGGAATGAGGTGGGTAGACCTCCACAGGCCAGGTCTACCAATATAGTGGAATGGGGTGGGTAGGCCTGTTCTTCATAGTGGAATAGGGTGGGTAGGCCTGTTCTCCAGAGAGCCAGTTTGGTGTGGTGGTTAAGTGCATGGACTCTAATCTGGGAGAACCAGGTTTGATCCCCCACTCCTCCACTTGCACCTGGCTGGATGACCTTGGGCAAGCCGTAGTTCTGATACGAGCTGTTCTTGGAAAAAAAAGAGCAGTTTCTGTCAAGAGCTCTCTCAGCCCCACCTACCTCAGGGTGTCTGTTGTGGGGAGTAGGGTTGCCAACCTCCCGGTGGGGCCTGAGGATCTCCCGCTTTTTCAACTGCTCTCCAGCTGACAGAGATCAGCTAACCTGGAGAAAATGGCTGCTTTGAAGGGTGGACTCTATGGCATGGTACTATGCTGAGGCCCTTCCCATCCCCAAACCCCGCCCTCTCCTGGCTCCACCCCCCAAAGTCTCCAGGTATTTTCCAACCCAGACCTGGCAACCCTAGTGGGGAGGGGAAGGGGTTTGTAAGCCGCTCTGAGACATCTTTGGGTAGTGAAGGGTGGGGTATGAATCTAATCTCCTCCTCCTCTGTGTGGCCGGCAGCCCCTGGACTTCCTTGGTGGTCTCCCATCCAAGTTCTAACCAGGGGCAACACTTAGCTTCTGAGATTTGATGAGATCAGGCTAGCCTGGGCTATCCATGATCTATAAACATTAGTAAAGCTACCCTGGTGATTATATTATCTGTGAGCAAAACATGATCCCAAGAATGTATCTCCGCTATTCATTTGAAACTCCTGGAAAGGATAAAGGGAGGGTGTGACTGGTGAAGTGGGACACACTGTCCAGCCTGAGGGACTTGGTGAATATTTTTTTTAAAACAGGTGGGGCCTGGAGATCTCCCAGAATTAGAACTGATCTCTAAGTGACAGAGATCAGTTCCCCTGGAGAAAATCGTTTCAGAGGGTAGCCATATTGCTGTAGAACAGTCAGATTCAAGTCCAGCAGCACTTTAGAGACCAACAAGGTTTCAGGGTATAACCCTTCAAGAGTCAGAGCTCTCTGATGAGGGCAGCTTTGACTCTTGAAAGGTTATGCCCTGGAAATCTTGTTGGTTTCTAAGGTGCTATGGGACTCCAGTCTACCTGGAGAAAATGGCTACTTGGAAGGGTAGACTCTATGGCATTGCACCATGCTGAGGCCCCTCCTCTCCCAAAATCCCGCCCTCTCCTGGATCTACCCTCCAAATCTCCAGATATTTTCCAACCCAGACCTGGCAACCCTACATTTCATCCATGGTGGGTGGGGGGAGATTGGATTTATACCCCACCCTTCACTCAGAGTCTTAGAGCAGTTTACAATCTCCTTCCCTTCCTCTCCCCACAACAGACACCCTGTGAGGTAGGTGGGGCTGAGAGAGCTCTGAGAGAACTGTCCTTGAGAGAACAGCTCTGACAGAACTATGGCTTGCCGAAAGTAATCCAGCAGCTGCAAATGGGGAATCAAACCCAGTTCTCCCAGATTAGAGTCCGTACACTTAACCACTACACCAAGAGGCAACAGGGTATCCATCAATAGTGGCCAGCCCAGCAGGGCAGGCAGTGACAGCCCCCAAGTAGGTAGTGGCCTCACCACTCTAGAGAGGAAAACATGGACAGGCCAACAGCCAGTAAGGGCCAGGGTTAGAAGGAGATGGAGGAGGGAGGCTGGGCCCACCTTTAAAGCCCAGGCAGGAGGCTTTCATCGTGTTCAGGAAGTGGTGGGGCTGAACCCCGATTTGAGCCAATGTCCAGGGAGTAGGGCCAAGGGTAAGGTTGCCAGCTCCAGGTTGGGAAATACCTAGAGATTTTGGAGATGGAGCCTGAGGAGGGCAGGGTTTGGGGAGGGGAGGGACTTCAATGGGATATAATGCCATAGAGCCCACTTTCCAAAGCTGCCATTTTCTCCAGGTAAACCAATCTCTGTTGCCTGGAGATCAGTTGTAATCCCAGGAGATCTCCAGCAACCACCTGGAGGTTGGCAACCCCTCAATCCCCATCAGTGGCTGGTGGGGTGGCAACCCTAGCCGGGTATATTGCCATAGAGTCCACTTCCCAAATCAGCTGTTTTCTCCAAGGGATCTCTCTATAGTTTGGAGATCCTACAGAATTCTGAGAGATCTCCAGCCACCACCTGGAGGTTGGCAACCTTACATTATGCCATGCCCCTTTGCCAAGGCGGTTAGAAAAGGAAGCTGCTGGGTGGAGTCTGCTAATACAGTTGAGTTAGAACTTTCACTTGAAATAAAGCTGCCAAATCAGTGTGGGAATATATGCGCTGCAGCTAGGGATGCCAGGTCTGGGTTGGAAAATACCAGGAGACTCTGGGGGTGGATCCAGGAGAGGGCGGGGTTTGGGGAGGGGCCTCAGCATGGTACCATGCCATAGAGCTCACCATTCAAAGCAGCCATGTTCTCCAGGGGAGCTGATCTCTGTCAGCTGGAGATCAGTTGTAAAAGCAGGAGATCTCCAGGTCCCACCTGGAGGCTGGCAAGCCTAGATGCAGCAGTAGGAGGGTTGAAGCCAGCGCTGAGTCTTCCTATCGTGATTTTTATAAACTTGCTTCACAAGTACTTAAATCATCTGATTCCTAATGTAAAGAAAAAATGTAAGTCCGACTTCTTCCTCTGCATTTCTAAATGTCGACGTGTCAGTGATTAGCGAACTCTGCAATATAAAAACACAATTGCTTTGTGGTATTTTTACACATGCTCTTGATGTATTTTGTCGACTGCAGAAAACCTGTGTTGTGGGCAAGCTTGGAGTCTTGTTTTGAGTACGTCCCGTATATATTCCTGCTCTTTACATCCCCTCACTTATTTTAACGCGGCAGCACAAGCGAGGGGAACTAGAAAGCTGGCCGTTGCTCCGGGAGCTGACCTGTCGCCCATAGCAACCGCTCCTCGCTCTCTCTCTCTCGACTCGGTATTCGATTAGGATGACTGCCTCTTTCCCGCTTTTATGCTCCGCGGTGAGTACAGGAAAGGAGGTAGGCACGCCCAATCTTCCCTTCGGCTGTGGATTAGCCATGCCTGCCCCAATCTCCAGTGTTGTTTTCTCCGAGGCAAGATGGCTGCGGTGGTGGCTGGGGCCGCCCCACTGGGCAAGGGGTTGGACATCAGCCTGGCGGCTCTGCAGCGACACGACCCCTATATCAGCGGTATCCTGGACGTGGCCAGCCAGGTGGCGCTCTACACTTTTGGGCACCGAGCCAACGAGTGGGTGCGTGATCGAGTGTCATCCCGGGGTGGTGTTGGGGGTGCTGTTGAAATGGGAGAGGATGGAATAATGTGGCTGTCTCTTTAAATTAGGAACGTCATTCTCTTGCCGTAAATTTTGTAGTGTAAGGGCATATGGGGGGGGGTTTTCATCCTTCCATTGTACATGTAAATGGTACATCCCAGTGATCTCGGTTGGAGTCTCTTGCTGTGCTTTTTAGTTGATCTTCTGCATCTGCGCTTTACTAGAGATCTGCAACTAGTGCCCTGGCAAAATTGGGTGTGTGTGTATCTCTCCCTCAACTTCAGCCAAGGCTTTTAAAGAAATTGAACTACCTGGAAATAAAGGGAGTTCAGTGTCCAGAAGTGCAAGAAAGAAAAGCCCTATTCAGACAACAAACTGGCATACAGTGGGTTTGAGATCAGCCCCATGAGTGCATGTGCTCATTTACTGTGGATGTGCATGCAGTCCATGCACAGTGTGCAAATGATTTCTCTTTGAACGCAAGTTGGGCAATTCTTTCTGTACATTTAACATCTGTACAGCAAAATACTCAGTTTGTACCCCATTTTTTCCCCAGATACTGGTCTTAGGGTTACCAAACTCAAGGCCCAGAGTTCTGGAATTAGAGCTGATTTCCAGACTACAGTGATTAGTTCCCCTGGAGGAAATGGCAGCTTCTGGAGATCAGTTGTAATTCTGCAAGAACTCCTTCCCCTACCTGTAAGTGGACAGCCCTCAGAGCTGTCCTCTAGTAATGCACTTTGCTACCATCTTTCCCAAACCTGGTTTGATACGATCTGCTGGTAGTGATCACAGTCCAAACACATGTGGATGAGAAAGTGTGCATTATTAAGCACCTGCCCACAGCAGCACCATGTTACTTGTCTCTGCCCCCTATGGCTGCCATCTCCCCCCATTACCACTGCAGAGCTCTAAAAAGTGGTAATTGTTATCTTCGTATTATTGATTTAAACAAGCAAAGAACCCTCCAGTGGCATGGGGGGGAAATGACAAGCAATCTTGGGCTGAGGCAAGGAAAGTGTGCAGAAAACTCCCATGTGGAAGCACAGTGAGGGCTACTCAGAAAACTGTTGCAATTTCGATGCATCCTAAGACCAACAGGTACTCACTGCCTTTGTTCTGGTAATGTTTGTGCTATCTCCCTTACTTTCCATTGTTACATATCCAACATAAACAAAGTAGTCTGTCAAGCTCAGCACTGTGTACTCTGACCGTCAGTGGCTTTCCAGGGTCCCGGGGACACAATTTTCTTTCCTAACACTAGCAACCAGAAATCTTTTAAAGTGGAGATGCCAAGGATTGTTTGTGGCATCTTCCGCATGCAAAGCATGTGCTCCGCCACTGTTGATTCAAGAGGTTCCTTCCGTTGCCTGGGCTAGTATTTTTTGGCATGAGTCACGTTATTTTTCTGTCTCAATATGCAGATGGTTCTGAGGCCTATGGAGCACATCTCTGGCTCTGCCTTTCATGCTTTTTTCAGAGCCCAGATGTGCTTCATGTATCTGAGGCATGTCATTTTGCAGTACTTTGGGGACTGTCAATCTGTGAACAAAAGCACCACATTAAATTGAAAATATGGGGCAGGTTTGAATGTCTCACTGATCTAGAGTGATATATTGATCATTTGCTGCAGAGTGATGTCATTTGTTGTGGCAGGAGTTTACAGAAGGCACACATTTTTCTGATACCGGACAGCTTTTCTTTATCGGTTGACACAGATAATGTCAAATTCATCATCAGTTCCCCTAATAGTCCTGTCAGATATCCTGGTAGGGTAATGTGCCTGTTACTGCTTTTCCTGGCTTTTTGCAATAGTAAGGAAATATAGCTAAAGCTATAAAAAGGAGTCTCTAGATCCTTGAAGGAAGATTTGCCAGGCTTTTTCTTAGCTATAGTCATGGTTCGATATTTTCTAAGAAGACTTGTAGGCTTACTGTGTGGGAGTTGTCAAGCTTGGCATGAATTTTCCCACAAAACTCACCATTCCTAATCACTTTTTGGAGTCCCTCCCTGTTTATCTTTTTGGTGGAGTCTATGTGTGAAGTACAGGCCAACCGAATGATTGATAATACATCATTTTTTCCAGTTAGTCTTTCATGTAAAATCTAAATCTGCTATGTCCTGAATTCTGAATTCTCATTTTTGCTTGTTTAGTTTTACATCTGTTGCTCTGGCCCTTTCCAGAGCAGTTTAATCAGGTTACATTCCTGTTTTTATCCATTCACAGACATCATTGCTCTGTAGTTAGATACCTTCAATACCCTGTTCTCTGCAAGATCTCAGCTGCTGATTCTAACCCAGAAGGTATCCTGCAAAAGTAACTCTTTTTTTCATTGCCTACCTAGTGCTGTTTTAGGTTCTACTCAGCTCAAATTAAACTTGCTTTAAGCATGGACTTTGCCACTAAGGCAAAGTGGATTCTAGATCAAATCAAACTCCCTAGAAGCTAAAATGACTAAACTGAGGCTATTGTACTTTGGTCACATTACGAGAAGGCAATGCTAGGAAAAGTTGAAGGCAGCAGGAAAGAGGAAGACCCAGCACTGAGATGGATTGACTCATATCAAGGAAGCCACAAAGGCCCTCAGTTTGCAGGACCTGAGCAGGGCTGTTAATGATAGGATGTTTTGGAGGTCATTAATTCAAAGAGACGTCATAAGTCCGAAGCAACTTGACGGCACTTAACACACACACACACACACAAACACACACACACACACACCCTAACCTAATCTCCTGCTGATTAAGACTGCTGGAACCAGTTATCTGTGTTAAAATAAACTGTCTCTCCATCTTGAGGGAGAGTGGGTTCCTCTTCCCACAATCCCTGGCACTTTCCATCTCCAGGGGGAGGAGGAGCCTGCCCATCAGTCCAGAGACTTCTGCAGATGACAGCAGTCTACAGTGTATGTCAAATGAACAAGGCCTGCAAAGCTGCTATAGTCTTTTTGTTAATATTTGTACCTGTATGCTCCTGATTTCTGCCATAATCACAGTACTGCACGCATGTTACTTTGGCTTTCACTGCTTGCTTGTGACTGTCTTTCAATCTGCGTATTTATTTGATTTTAGGAGAAGACTGATGTGGAAGGGACACTGTTTGTTTATACCAGGTGAGATAATATATTTTAAGATTATACCCTTACAGTCATGTCCTTTCTATGCGAGGCCAGAACTGAAGCAACTGAGGCTGTGTCTGGTACTGAATTAATGTGAGAAATACGAATTTTCAAATCATGTGAAACTGTTAATTGGGTATGGGTGATTAAAGTGGAAATCTGAGGAAAAGATACTCAATCCAATTTTAACATGATACATAAGGAAAATTTTTCCCTTTGAATGGCAGATTGCTGACTACTCCTTACTGAAGGAGTTATGTCACACAATCCAGTCAGGAGAAATTGCAGTTTAAAACAGGTGGAAACATTTTTTCAGCAAAGCAAAGGAATCTTGGGGCATAAGCTTTCATGACAGAGCTTGCTTTGTCGGATCCATGTCCTCGTCAACAATGCCTTCCGACCCTATCTAGGACAAGCAGGCTATTCACTATGCCAAAAAAGAAAATAAAATAAAAAAGGTCATAAATTTGCCATAAAATTGGCAGCATTCAGAAACTGGTGCGAGCCCATCTCCGTCTACTAGGACATTGTTCTGCTGACTTGAACGTCTCAGTTCTTCAGCAAATGATCTTCAAAGGTTCATTGAGAAACTGCTGTATTCAAATTTGTCCCTGGGTTTGATGGTGTCAACTGGGGATTAAACCATTCTTGGGTGCTACAGGTGCTAAAAATCTAAGTAGCTGAACTTGTTATCACAAATTACAACTCTTTGGTCACTGTGTTTGTCCTATATATTGTTGAATTTTGTCCAGAAATGTCAGAAGCTATACGTCCTCTATTTCATGGCCTTTTAATCCCCAGTGTGCCCAGATTTCCCCCCCCACACACACCTTTCCAGTGCCATGTCTGTATTCTACAAAATAAGAATCAGTGCCATGCATCTGACAAAATGAGCTCTAAGCTTACAAAAACATATGCTTTGATAAATCTGTTAAAGTATAAAAGGGCCAAAAGGCTCCTTTTCGTGTGTGTGTGTTTTGCTGCAGCAGATTAATACAGCTATGCCACTGTCAGCAAAGAATCCTGATAGGTATTTTCTGAATGTTCTGAACTTCTTAAATCTCCTCACTGCCACCCCCCAAGCACTTGGTATAACCACCCAGTTTCTAATTGCTCTGTGCCTCTTCTTTCCCAGGCATCCATTCCTATACCCTGCTATCCTACTTCACCCTCACTCTCTATCACCATTTCTTCCTCCTGTTGGTGTCCTATTCCTTTCCATCCCTGTTTGAGAAACACTGGTACTACACAGACATGATACCAAACCATAGTTCGGCACTACGCAAGTTAATCCCATGCTTACATTTTCTCTCCTCCCTTGTGTCACTGGCACTGATTAATGATTTCTGATTTAGTGCAAACCAGAGCATGCCATTTATCTGAACCAGAAAAACCTGCTTCCCCTCCAAAGAAGAATTGCTAACCATAATATGAAGCTGATTTGTACTGCTGATTTGGAAAGGAAGCAAGAACAAAACCATAGTGTTCTAGAAGGTGCATTTGTATAAGCAGATTAGGCCAACCCAGGGGTGCCCAACCTTTTTGAGCCTGTGGGCACCTTTAGAATTCTGACAGAGGGTGGCGGGTGCAACCACAAAATGGCTGCCACAGGAGGCAGAATCCACCACAAAATGGATGCCATGCAAGGGGGGAGCCACACACATAGAGGAAGCCCCAGTAGAGCCCCAGTAGAGGGGAGAATGGGAGTCATTTATAGAATACACTCAGGAAGCGGAGTAAGAGAGACTGAAACCAACACAGTGGTGGTAGCTACCACTGAAACAAATAATCAGATCTCCAGTGGCAAATCCGAAGCCCTGCTGGGCAAGTGTGCCACCCACTTTCTAAAAACACTCCGGACAGGTGTTGACAGGTGCCGTGATGCCAACAGGCACCACATTGGGGGACCCCTGAGCTAAACTGTGGCTTGACTTTCTGTCTCAGCTGTCCCATTGTGTTCGTTGAAAGTGACTGGCTTCATTTCTGTCTTATTCCTAAGAGAAGAGGAACAGCAGATGCTGATTTGAAAAAGTTGAAGGTTATACTGAAATACCTGATGAGTGGTATTTCGTGAACTTGAAGATGCATAGGGCATGATAATGCAGTTTAATCCTTCGTATGAATGAGCCTGATAAACGTGATTATGTTCTGTTTAAAATACAATTTAATGTTTACCTTTTACAACAGAATGCCTCAGTGACAAAGGACTGATTGATGTCTTATTCAGCAATCATGTTTGCCCTGTTAAATGTGTAAACTGTGCGCATGGTTACATCCCTGCATCTTCTTGTCTCACTGGTTAATGTTCATTGAAGCAAACTGCACTGCCATGGCAAAAGTGGAATTCAGTCAGAATAGGAGTGGCTTTGCATGTTTATGTTCAGCCGGCAGACAGGTGCATGCGTAAATGGAGATAACTCATTTATTTGCAGTGGCGTCTGGAGAACACATCTGCCTGAAATGCTGCAAATGGCATTGCAAATAGAGTCATACTGTATGCGTGTCTGTGTGATGGGAAGTCCCTGACAGTGCCCAAATATGTAAAAACTGTTGGTCTAAGCAGTACTGCTCATTTAAGGGTAAGGGGATGTGCATACCTGCAATTTAACAATTTCTTGGACAGGATTATGGAAAGCATTTGCAGTTTGCTTATGTTGCCCTCCAATTTGGATGTTATTCCATAATTTTTGTCCCAGCTTGGATAAACCAATCATACTTCAGTTTTTGTATTGCTTGGACCTGTCTTTTTTCAAAGTCAAGCAGGGCCGTAATTTTTTCCCCTGGAAGTGCAGAGAACTGAAATGATGCCTTCTCTCTATAGTGTTCTTAATCCAACAAAAAAATCATCAAAACCAGAAGATTTTGTTTAAAAAAATAAAAACACTTCCTTTGAAGAAACCTTGTCTGTCCCACCCTGTCAGTAAGGTATATTTTTGCTATTTGCCCAGCCCAGGAACTCTAGGGAAGGGATAGGACTGACTTTAACTTAATGGCAGCAATGTGGGTGGGACAGGGAAAGGTCTGGACTTTCATGTTCACAGAGCAGGCCCCCCCCTTCCCCCCCATTTTCCAAAAGCAGGTTTTGGAATTATGACAGACCCCATCCACTTCCCTCACTCAGGCAAGATTTTCCCTCCATTTCTGTTTCCCTTCAGTGACTGAGCAGCCCTGGCAGCATGTTTATTCTTCCCTTGAAGAAACCTTGTCTGTCCCACCCTGTCAGTAAAGTATATTTTGGCTATTTGCTCAGCCCAGGAACTTGAGGGAAGGGATAGAACTGCCCTTTAACTTAAACCCTTGAAAATGGCACTTGAGACGCTTTTAACATTCAAAAATAATTAAAGGTTTTATTTTAACATCAAAGGGAAAGGTCAGGTGAAATCAGGCATTGAAATTACTGAGGTAAAGCAATTACAAGCACAGACTTTTGTTCTTTTGTATCAGGCTAATGAGAGATTCTTAAATTATTCAGTTACTTAGATCTTTATGTTGAGAGGCTTTTGTTCCAGTGTTCTCCCAAACTCTCTGGTTCACTTTATAATCGCTGATGCTTTTTGGTGCCCAGAAGGCTGGTACCCTCTTCCCAGTACCCAAACCCCTTCTCTTTGGAACACCAGTATGCTTCTTGAGTGCTTGACTGACTTTTTAGATTTCTAAAGGCAGTTCCTAATCACACCAGACCAGGGATCTCTGTACTCCTCAGAGATAACTCTCCCTGTTTGACTGGGTAGGGAATCTTCTTCTCTCTCTAGAAGATCTATCCCCTTTCCTTTGGCCTGAATATGAATCTTCTCCACAGCCAAACTTCCTTGCCAAACTCCCCCACCCCACCCCACATACACAGATTGCATTCTGTCAAGGTAGAAATCTGACTCTGTCAGCACTAAACCCTTTTTTGATAGGGCTATTCGTAGATGGTCTCCGTACACGGCTCTTCACAGTAAAGGCAGGAATCTGACTGACTTTCCTCAGCATCCAGCTCTCTCAAGACTTTCTGTGTTCAGCTGATGCTAACCAAGCAGAGCAGCCTATCACTCAAGGCTCTCTGGAATTAACTCTTCACAACCCTTTAGTTGTTGGTACAGCACTTCTAAGCCTCTTAAAAAGTGCAGTCCATCATAGGAATGCTCACAGAAGAGCTAAGGACAATCTGGAAACTGCATGAGAACATCACAATGTTGTGTGGAGGCAGGGGAAAAAATTCCACTTCTTATTAAGACTCCAGATACCCTGTGTGGAAATGTTCTTACAGTTTCTAACCAAACCATTTGCAGTCTAAACTAAATTTAATTTTTTTCCCCACTTGTTTTACTGCTTTTTGGTGAATATGACTTTCCTTTCCTCTGCTTTGGAAATATAAATGTGAAGAAGAAGAAGCATTTGTAGGTAGTGTTTTGAGAATCAACAAGTATCATACAAATTATTTTTCATGTATTGACTTCATTGAAATAATAAATAATAATAATCTGTATACTGCCTTTCTCCTCAATGAGGACCCAAGGTAGCTTTCAGCATTCTCCTCTCCTCCATTTTATCTTCACAGCAGTCCTGTGAGGTATGTTAGGCTGGGAGGTCATTCCATAATCAGAAATCAGCCTGTCGGATCATTAAAAAAGTACAACGAGGAACAGCGGTGAAAGAGTTTGTCTTCCTAATAATAAAGCTACTTGTGGAGAAGATATTTGAATAATTTTGATAGTGATTTTTAATAGCCTGCTGTTGTTGAAAATTGCAGGGGAAATAATTCAAATAATGTCAAAAACAAAACCTCCTAAAGGGAATAACCAAAAGACAAACTGAATGGACTCTTCCTCTGATAATTCTGTGATTGCCGTCTTGTATTCTTTCCTTTACTTCTGCCCTTTTCTTTGTATTCTGTTACCTTCCCTTCTCTAAGGCACATTCTAGAGGCTCAAGGTATGGAAATGTCCTCTGAGGGTTATGATACCTGGCATATCTCTCAGCTACCTAGCCAATGCTTTCTCCCCAGTGTCAATCCTAGTTAAAAATAGCATATCCTATATGTACTAGTTTCAGTAGCCAGTGAAGAGCTTTCAAGCGGTAAGTTTATTCAGTGCTTACTTTTAGCACAGCAAGCTAGGGCAGTTTCAGTTAATGTAACACCAGTAGATTGGGAACAGTGCGGGTGTGGGAACAATACTCAGAATCATAGAGTTGGAAGGGGCCTCTAGGATCATCTAGTCCAACCCCCTGAACAATGCAGGAAATTCACAAATACCTCCCCCCCCCCACACACCCAGTGGCCCCTGCTCCATGCCCAGAAGATGGCAAAAACCTCCAGGATATACAGCTAAACTGGCCTGGCCTGGAGAAAAATTGCTTCCTGACCCCAACGTGGTGATCACCGTTTCCCTGGGCATGTAAGAAAAGGCCACAAGAACCAAGCACTGATGCAGCCCTCCCTCTCATGATCTGCCTAAATTCAGAGAATCTACATTGCTATCAGATGGCCATCTAGCCTCTGTTTAAAAACCTCCAAAGAAGGAGAGCCCACCACCTCCCGAGGAAGCCTGTTCCACTGAGGAACCTCTGTCAGGAAATTCTTCCTAATGTTTTGAGATGTATGTACTTTACATTCTGATAAGTTTGAAAAACTGCTCTTGCTAGTGTTAATGCTTAATCTGTAAAGGACCTCTTGCGACCTCTGTCTTAGCTGTTATAATAGCCAGAAACTCTGTCTGGATAGCTAAAATAAAGGACTTCTTCTGAAGGATTAAATCATTAATTGTAAGACAAAATAAACTAAGAGATGATTCAAAAGCAGCAGGGAAATATATTGGCTGCATTCATATGTAAACAAAACACAGTTTCTCATTATGGGAACAAACTTTACAAGTCCTAGGGCTCAAGCCCTCTAGTACACTGCTTGGGAGTTTTATTTGAAATATTTATATACTTCTCTTCACCAAATAACTTGAGGCAGTTAACAACAACAACAAGATCATTAGCAAACGGAAAAGATTGTGGTTTTGTTTATTTACAGTATTTATATCCCCACCTTTCTCCCAGGCATCTCAAGGCCCAAGGCAGCATTAAAACAACGTGAAAGAAGTACAACAATGTGAAAACAGTACAAAGCAATGCAATGTAAAGCAATGTAAAGCAAAGCGAAAACATGCCCAAACTAGCAGGGTATTCCCGCCCTTTGCCCAGGCTCTCTGACTGCCCCACAAGCTCTCCAGAACAGCTCTGTTTTGTATCCTTGCTGGAAAGCCGGGAGTGAGGGAATCCCTGTGATCCCTTCCTGGGTGCTGTTCCAGAGGCACGGGGCAACAACTGAAAAAGCCAAAGCTTGGACCATGGCAGAAAGTGACGTAGACAATGGAGGAGTTGATAATAGGTCTTGGTGGGAAGAGCAGAGCTGTTGCATGGGAACGTGCAGGGAGAGATGATCCTTCAAATGAGGGGGCCCCAGTTCATGAAGGGCTTTAAAGATGAGCACTAATACCTTTAATTAGACCTGGAAATTAATAGACAGCCAGTGAAAGGATCTCAGAATAGGAGTGACATGGTCCTGTTGGCTAATGCCAGGTAACAGACAAGCTGCTGCATTTTGCACCAGCTGCAGCTTTTGGATTGCCTTCAGCGGCAGCCCCATGAAGAGCGTTTTACAGTAATCTAGCTTTGAGATTACTGAAGCATAGATTAGCGTGGCCAGAACAGATGCCCGCAAATAGGAATCCACTGATCCCTTCTTAATCACTGATAAAATATAATACACCAAAGTTATTATTAAGGATAAAATCAATGAATATTCAAATATTTTAAAAGAACTTCAGAAACAATAAAATTAGCCATAGTGGTTGTAGTAACCAACTGTGGTTTGTTGTCTTGCCTATGAACAGAGTTTCAACCCCCAGTCTAGGCAAAAGTATAAAACATAGTTTGCTGTTTCATCCAGTTCCCATGAAGCAATCAAGTATGATTTATTAGGAATTAGGAAATCTGTTGCTGCCAAGCTATAAACACAGAGAACAGGGATAGGGGTATGTGCAAGTCCAAGGATTTACAAGGCTTGTTTCTGATTTGTTATTATGTCTGAAGGCAGCCATTGATCAAAAGGGTGCATTTATACCTCTTAATAAACACTAGTTTAGACATCATTGTTTGATTGAACTCCAGTTGTTTGTAATGCCTCAATGCCAGTGGTCCAACAAACCGAGGTTTGTTGGTTGGTGCTAAACCAGGATTTCAAACTAGGGTTTATAGTGGGTTTATTCCAATTTAATTCAAATTGTTGTTGTTGTTAGATCAGCCCTGCCCCTTGTTACTATCCCGGCACAGAGATGGCAGGACGGGGAGGATTCCCTCCCTTCAGAGAGACTGGTGAGAAGCACAAGGCAGTCAGATGGAGGTTTATGCACAGAATAGGGGTTTATTATTGAGAGCTGTTAAGCTAATGAGTTTGTTGCATAGGAGTTAATGATATGAATGCAGCATAATGAAGAGATAGTATTATTTTATTTTATTTACTTGTTTACTTAATTTATGCCCTTCCTTTCTCCCCCATGGGACCCAAAGGGCTTACATTGTTCCCCTTTTCTTCTTTTTATTATCACAACAACACTGTGAGGTTTGTTAGGCTGAGAGAATGTGACTGGTCCAGGGTGACTCAGCCAGCTTCCATGGCAGAGTGGGGATTTGAACCCGGGGTGTTCCCAGATCCTAGTCCAGCACTCTGTTCTCTACATTACACTGGCTCTCAATGAACCTCTCTGTATGGCAATCTAAAAAAGAAACCAAGTATTTTCTCGGGCTTGCAGAAGTTACTTTTCCACATGACAGTAGTATGCATACAACAATATTTTAAATAGTATAAAACATGCAAACGATGGAGATTTTTTAAACTGTCTGAATTGTTCCTGCTTTGATCATTTTCAGATCAGCTTCACCAAAATACGGTTTCACCATTATGAATAGGCTGAGCATGGAGAATCGTACAGAGCCAATAACTAAAGACCTAGATTTCCAGTTGCAGGACCCTTTCCTACTTTACCGAAATGCCAGATGTGAGTATTTTCATTATGGTTTTGACTCAGTTTTTTTTTTACTCAGTTTTAAAGTAAAACTGTATTTTCTGCTGATTACTTAAAAAAAAAAAATTTAAACCCAAAACATTTCATCTTACAATTTGCATGCAAGTTACAGTTATGTCCAATATTAATTTTTGTGTGTGCATAACATTGGGGGGGCATTGTCTCATATTATATTCAGAGCTGTCTCCCTTTCAAGTAAATCTGAAGACCTTCAGCAGCAGGGGTTGGGAAGAGATTTCGGGGTGGAGCCTGGAGAGGGGCAGGGTTTGGAATGGGGAGGGACCTCAGCTGGGTAGAATGCCATAGAGTCCACCCTGCAATGCAACCATTTTTTCCAGGCAAACTGTTCTTCATTGTCTGGAGATCAGTTGAAATAGTTGGAGATCTCCAGACCCCTGGAGGTTGGCAACCCGATTTAACAGCTTGTTGAGCCCCAGTATGCTAGGGATTTCACAAATGCAGATTAATAAACAATCCTTCTTCAAGATATGACAGCATTCTTTGCTCAGAGCACAATATACAAGTTTTGGTTTTGGGGCTACCTATTGGCTTCAAGGAAGTGTAGAGCCCAGGCCTCTCATTGCGCCGGAGCTCCCCAGTACGTCAGTCCGGGGGAGACGCAGGGGGGGCGGTCACATGGTGAAGCCCCGCCCCCTTCTTCAGGCCGGCCGGCCCCTCCTTGCCGGGGGGGTAGAGGGAGGGCGCGCTACTCACACAATCCACATGCCAGGGATGCTGAAGGCAGGACTACCCAGGCGGGCATTCTGGGGCCCACGAACGAAGGGTAGCGCTTACCCGCTGGCCCGGCAGCTTCCAGGAGCGCTGCCGGAGCCCACTCGGCTCCCACCCAGCGGCGGCCGCCACCACAGCATCAACAGCAGCAGCTCTCCCACCGGAGTCGCGGACCAGTCAGGCCAGGCCAAGCCAGGACGGCATGGATGGGGCAACCCCGCCCCGCCGGGGGTCGGCCCAACCCCTGCGCCCGCCCCCGCCGGGGGAATGCCGGAGCCGGCGAGGGAGCGCCCGGAGGCCCGGCTCGGCCTCCAAGCGCCTGCTACGACTGGGGCGGCCGTTGTGGCCCGCCGCCCGCCCTCAGCCTCCACTCCAGCCACATGGCGAGCCCAGGGAGGGGAGGGAGGGAAGCCAGGCCAGGCCAGGTGGCGCTTGGCCTCTCCTCCTCCTCTTCTGCGGAAGACTGAGCTGCTCTCTAGGCCACGGCCATTTCCCAGAGGCTCCGAGCTTTGGCTTCTCATCTTCCCAGCGGACCCACCTCCTCGCATCAAACCCCGACACCGGAAGGAGTCAGCCGCGTCGTGCTCCCAGAAAGAGCCGGGGGCAGGCGGGCGCTCACGCAAAGCTTCCCCAGCCGCCGAGAGGTTTCCACAGCCCGCACAAAGCTTCCCTGGCCGCCGCCAACCAACTCGACGTGAGTCCAGCGGCACCTGGTAGAGTTCGAGCTTCCCAGAGGAGTCAAGGCTCCGTTTGTCGGGTCCCTACCAGGTGGGATGGAGACCCACCAGAGGGCGGGAGGTGCGGTGTGGGAAAAGGAGTCCGGGTGCGGAGGCGCCACCCACCTGGAGAGGAGAAGCGCGGAGGGAATAGGAAGCCAGCCGCTCTAGTGAGATGCAACTCCTAGCGGGAAACAAACTGGAATAAAACCATCTCCCCCACACACCTTTTTAAAATACACTGGCATCGCTCCCCCCTCAGTATTCCTACAGGGGTTATTTGCCCTGTTTTTGATGCTGAGGACTGTGTCGTTGCCCCCGAGGCCCCCACAGTGTCTCGTGCGCCTCCAGTGCCACCGCGCACCCCCCTCCCACACAGACACCCGCTTTTCTCTGCTCCTCTATCCCACTTTGCTGTGAAGCTTTGGCAAAGATCACGGCAAAGCCGGAGAGGGGGTTGGATTCTAGCCGCTTGGAGTGGCTAGAACGAAGCCCCCACCCGCTGGTGGACCTCCGGAGGGCACCTGTTATTTTAGGCCGATGTGTGACACAGTGTGTTGGACTGGATGGGCCACCTGCCTGATCCAGCATGGCTTCTCTTATGTTCTTATGTCTGGCACAGTGATGCTCTGTGTTCTTGGTGCTTGGGGGGGCAAGAGTGGGAGGGCTTCTGGATTTCAGGTCTCGCTGGTGGACTTCCGGAGGGCCCCTGGTATTTTTGGCTGATGTGTGACACAGTGTGTTGGACTGGATGAGCAACTGGCCTGATCCAGCATGGCTTCTCTTATGTTCTTATGTCTGGCACAGTGATGCTCTGCATTCTTGGTGCTTGGGGGGGCAAGAGTGGGAGGGCTCCTGGAGTTTCGGCCCTGCTGGTGGACCTCCTGAGGGCACCTGGGCTTTGTCCAGTGTTTCATCTAAGTGCAAGGTAGCTAACAGTTTTTTAGCCTCTGGCTCATACATTTTTGTCTTAATTCAGGAAAGATGCCTCCAGAGCAAACTAATTTATGCAGTAGCCAAATTGCTCACTCATAGCTTTAATGCCAGTTGCTCACAAAGGAGCATCCCGGGAACTTCCGGCCGCGGTGGCGCAAATGGCGACCGGGTCTCGGGACGTTTCCCGGAGCCGGATCGCCCAAG